ACTCAACCAAGTCAAGAGGCCATATCTGATTCCCAGGTAAGGAAGTACATCGCCCTTGAATGGTTAATGCGGTAAAAGGCGTAGCAAAGGGTGGGACGGGATGCCTAAGGCTCTTACAGAAAGGGTGTGGCAGTTGGCAGCGCTAACACAATCTTTCACAGGTAACACCACTTCCTGATGCATCCCCAAGCAACAATCGCAGTTCTCCATCACTTCCAATAGCCCAAGTCTGCTCTCCTCTAACACACTCAATACCCAATTCCTTCCTCACTTGGGGGCACCTCAGAATCTGGCCTCATCTGGAGCTCTCATTCAATGCCCCATCCCCTCTTCTTGTCCCATCCCTCCTGGCCACTAGACAATTACACATCTATCATGGAAGACCGGAGGTTTAAATGGAATCTTTAGTGAGTAGGGCAAGGGGCAGCATGCTACCAGTGACAGGAGTAATTCAGACCCATAGCAAAGGAAAACTCCTGGAATACACCAGAACTTTCCACATGAGCAAAAAGAAGGTGTGACCCAAAGACAAGCAGTCCTCAACATGCCTTCCTGGCTCAGGGGGTGACTGGATGCTCTCATATTGGGGACACTGCTCTGTTATAGGGATGTCTGTGCAGTATCTGCTGTTGATGTACCAATAATGCAGTTTTTATTTTTAAGTATGCTCTACAAATGACAGTATTGAAGGCTGGGGCAGAGGCTTATGCTTGTGGTGACAGCTCTGAGTAAAGTGGAGACTGGGAGGTTCATAGTACAAGGCCAGTACAAGCAAAACTTTGTGAGAACCCTGTCACTACCAATAGCTGTGTGAGTGGTACTTGCCTGTCATCAAGTAGCATAAACAGGAAGGTCATGGCCTGGGCATAAATGTGAGATCGATCCCCCAAATGACTAAAGCAGAAGGACTAGGGTCATGGTTCAAGTCCCTACCTAGCAAGGGCAAGGCTCTGAGTTCTTTCTTGAGTAAAACACACACATACACATATACACACATGTCTATGCATATATATCATACATATATCTATGTGTGTGTATATATATATGGCTGAGGGCTGTATATACATATATGTGTACATACTTATGCATACATGCACATTTATCTCTCTAAATATATGTATGTATGGCTCAATACACACATACATATATGTATATACATGTACATGTATATATAAATCTCTCTAAATATATGGATGTGTATGTGTATATATTATGTAAAAATACATGGCCGAGGGTCATTGGTTGCTATCTATACTAACCCTTCTTCTGCATTGAGTTACTACCTACCACATAGAATTCAGTGTTTAGTAACACATGCACACACATAGGACCATTGGTTGCTATCTAAACTAACTCTTCTACACTAAGTGATCTACTGCTTAAAATCCTATCCCTCCTTCAGCTCTCTCCATTTTCCACAAATCCTCCTACAAACTCAAACCATGTGGTATTGAGTACTGGGTTTTGGCATTTGACTTCTCTTTTTAATGAAACACCAGTGGTCTGTTTTGATCACCAATGCTTTGACCTGCTGATCATTTCTACAACAGAGCTGAAGGCCAGTCCTGACTTTAAAGAATGGAAACCCCAGGATCACTTTGTCTACAGTGAAATGAGCACCATGTAAGTGAAGCAGGACTGAGATGATTGTTTGGCTAGCCAGCCTGCAGAACATTGCAATGGGTTGAGTGACAGAGCCAGACTCATCATTCCAATTTCCATTTCTTCCTTCTACCTGCTAAAGTTGGGAGCTGGTATACTTCTACTTTGTTGTGACTTCAAAATTTTCTTATAACCAAGTGCACATTCTTGGGTCATTTTAAACTAGGACCTTAGGATTCCTGAAAACATCCCAGGGTCCTAGGTGAGCGAAAGATAGGATCTCAGGACTTGTTTGGCAGCCAAGGGGCTTCGGAAGCGAGGAGAGGACAGAACTGCTCCGTCTCCCAGGGCTGCTTTGAATCCACCCAGATTCATTCAAATCTAACTTTCTCTGCTCCCTGTGTGCTCTCTGAGTGAGGTGGGAATTGGAATGGTCTTGGAGATTGAGGTAATTTCTAAGTTAATTTACAGATGTCAGGACTTCTCTGAGAAGCTATGTGAAAAAGGATACCACTGGCCCGTCTAGCCAGGGCTGAGGGTCTTTGATATTCTATCCAGGGTGCAAGATGCAGACATTCAAGTGTGAAATAATTGTGTAAATGTAAGGTTTCAAAGTGATCCTAATATTGACATAGACAATATTTGAGTCAATGGAAAATAGGTAATTGAGTAATTGATTAGTGGCCATGTTTATCATTGCATAAAACCTACAGGAGGACACTAATTTGAATTTGGAGCTGCAGTTCAAGCAAAATGCTCTGTTGGCCAGTATTCCTTCACTGTTTTATTTCTGTGCATGTGTGCCAGTACTCACTGAAAGCTAGTACTCTTCTATCTGAATCACAGCTCTACTTCCAGCTTTTTGCCAATTCATAAGAGGTAAGTGTCTCCTGCACTTTCCTGCCCAGGCTGGCTTCAAACAATGATCCTCAGATCTCAGCCTCCTGAGTAGCTAGGATTACAAGTATGAGCCACCATGTCTAGCTCCAGCCTATCCCAATGGGCTACAGGTCCTCAGGGAACTTTCTAGATACTTCCTTGTGAGGTTTTCCAGGTAGCCTCATAAGTTCCAGTCTCATACTTGGAACCACCTTTTCTTCAAGGATGTTTTGGTTTTTGAAAAAAAAAGTCTTGAAATTTCTCTGCTGCAAAGATCTCTGCAGTGCTCATGGGCTGGATTTCAGACCCTGCATGTAATAAGACATGCATGCAATAGCAGCTGCCCTGAGGCCAGGTTAACACGGGAAGTGCTTAGTTGATATAGCATTCATTCTACTAGCTATCAGCACTTAGCCATTATTTCTTTGTTTTTTACAAACCTTGATCTAAATCTTTTATTCATTTTCTGATGTCAATGGGCTTAGAACTCTGGGGTTTATGCTTGCTAGGCAGATTCTCTACCACTTGAGCCAGGCCGCCAGTCCATTGATCTAGATCTTCTACTTCTGGCACAATGTGTATACTATCATCCCTATACTGTTAAGCAGATAGTAAGGACACTCACCTGATGGTGAAAACTGAATATATACAAGCATACCTTTGATTCGGCTGTGAGGACCCGTAGACAGCGACAGGGATGCGAGCTGGGACAGCTGAAAACATCCCAAACAGAAGCTCACTTCTCAAATGCAATCACTCACAGAGTGACAGGGACTGAATGGTCTTTGGAAACCACGAAGACCATTTAATCTTTGTCACAAACTTCATATCTGTAGACCTTAAGACCTTACTTTTGGTAGTACTGGGGATTAGACCCAGGACCCATGTGCTTGCTAGGCAGGCTCTCTATCACTTGAGCCATGCCTTCTAGCCTTTTTTTTTTTGCTTTAGTTTGTTTTCAGAAAGGGTCTCATGCTTTTGCCTAAACTGGCATTGGACCACAATCCTCCTATCTCCACCTGGGATTACAGGTGTGGGCTATCAGATTTGGACCCAAAGTTCTGCGGGTTTTTTGGGTGCCAATGTTGGGGCTTGAACTCGGAGCTTAGGTACTCTGCTGGAACTCCTTTTGCTCAAGGCTAGTGTTCTACCTCTTGAACCACAGAGCCACTTCTGGCTTTTTCTGGGTAGTTTATTTGAGAAAAGCATTTCACAGATGCTCCTGCTTGGATTGGCTTCGAACTTTAGTCCTCAGATTTCAGCTTCCTGAGTAGCTATGATTACAAGCATGAGCCACTGGTGCTTGTGCCAAGGTTCATTTTTAAGCAACTTGCAAAAGGAACAGTCATCTGTTGAAACCTTTGTAATGGTAAGTCCCTGCTTACCATTTTCTATAAGAGAGAAGAGGGCCAGACTCCACATGGACCTAATCAAACCCAAGAGGACTAAAGCCACCGAAACCCAGTATCTTCAGAAAGTTCTTACCTGAATGCTTCTATCAAAATGAACTAAACACTACAAAGCAAAGGATGTTGGCAGCCTAACACGTTCAAGGTTTAAACCAAGATTCACATCTAAGATTCTCCTCAGGGAACTTTTCTGTCACTGGCACTCAGTTTTGGTAGCTATAGCCCCATCATGTTTTTGTGGTTTTGTGTTTTTAATATGCTGATCCCTGGTCATTCATTCTTCGTTATAGTCTCAACAACATATCACATCTTCCAAAAAGCAAACAATGACCTCGCATCCTTTCCCCTACTCTTCTTAGAACGTGAAATCAGAGGTTTGCAAAAGGCCTTTGAAGTAGGGAGGGAGGGAAGAAGAGAGGCAGGGGAGGAGGAAGAGAGGTTAGTAAGCAAGTGCAAGTCTAAGCTGAAATACTGCAGTTTTTCAAACAAGTAGTATGCCAAGACGATATTTAAATCTTTAGATAATGTCTAGGACAGATTTAGAGCTCAGTGGTAAATGGAACATTTGTCTAGAATGCACAAGGCTCTGTGTTCATCAGAACACACACGCACACACATGCACACACACGCACACACACGCACACACACGCACACACACACGCACACACATGCACACACACGCACACACACACATACGCACACGCACACACACGCACACACACACGCACACACATGCACACACACGCACACACACACATACGCACACACACACGCACACACACACACGCACACACATGCACACACACACACATACGCACACACACACACGCACACACACACACACCAAGAACAGATTTATAATTTGTGCAAACAAGATGAACTAGTACCTATTATGAGGTCTGCCATACATAAACTATCATAATTCAAGTAACTTGGTGGGACTATTACAAGATGGAATGAAATGATCAGTTTAACTCAACCCAAAATGATTTAGATGTTTGTAACATGCATGCAATTTTAAGAAGCAAAAGCCAGTGCATAAACGGCAAAGACATTCACTTCCCCTATTTAACAATATTTGTTACTAGCGATGAGTAAAATTACAATTACCTCTGAGTAATTTGGCGAGAGATATTTCCCATTGCATTTTGCAATGCGTCTGAGAATCTGTAATGCTTTATCCCCTTCCTTCCGAGTAATGAGCCAGCGTGGAGACTCGGGGACCACCCTAGAAAGGGAGGAAACTTTTTTGAGTTACGTTAGGAATGTCAAAACCTGAATGTTCATCCCTTGACTTTTTCTACCAAAATGGATCTTGCAATGAAGTACAAGTTGAAACAACTTTCAGAGTTGGTAACAGAGTCTCTGAAATACAGATTATCTCTGTAAATTTATAGTAAATGGAAAGCATAGTAACTTAATCACTGAATCATTCCTCATAAAGATATCAATATTACATTGTTTTTGGAGGTCAGGCAACCCATTGGAAGGATGCCTTTGATTGTATGTATGAAAAGAATCAGGACTTTGTCTTTAGGAAAGGTTAGGAACCACATTTACGTAAAATGATTTGCCCATATATTAAAATTCAATGACAGGAATTGCTAAAATAGGAACACACCCAGAAGAATCAAATGTATACACATGTATCTTCTTGATAATTTAATTGGTTAATGTTCCTAACACTTTGCTGTTCCTTAGAGAATTCCTGGGTCATTGTTCATCTGTTCAGTGGAAATTACAAAGAAACAAATCAGCTTCATTGCACTTAATTTGCATGTTCAAACACTGGCCTCATAATCTTCAAGAAGCTATTGCAAAACCTTGATGTATAATGCAATACTTTGTTTAAATTTTTGTGTTTGGCATGGTCAATAACAGCTGTAAATTCTCATTTTTTAAAAGCAATTCTCAAAGCGCAGTAGCTAATGTGGAGATGTCAGAAGATCTTTATGGCTTTCATTTTCTTCTGGGTGTGGATTTCGCATTTCTGTGGCATAGCATAAATGTAATATGACCACATTACCAATAATAAAGCAGGAAGAGAAAGTTGGGCAGTGTAACAGCCAGCTGGATTCCTTGCCAACTGGGGATAAAGTACGCAATTCCTGGGAGAATTATGATCCCAAGAGTGAAGAACATTTGAATCACAACTCCGACAATCCTCCTTTGTTTTGAGCCGACTATTTCTGTCACTGAAGGGAAACAAACACAAAAGATTAGGGAAGGCGAAGATCAAGTTACCAGGAACACACACACACACACACACTTTATACCTGCTAAACCCTGCCCCATCACTAGTGGGACACTCTAGAACTAGCCAATGAAGCCTCTGTATTTACTGAAATGCTTTTGTCTCCCACTCTTCTCTGGGCCCACACCCGCATCCTTCTGAGAGTCACTGGGAAGTTCCAAGAACACAGGAAAACACCAGTGATAACGGTTTGGGAAGGGACAGTAGGGACCCAAATATAATACAGGAAACTAGCTAAATCTTGTCACTGTGTTTCTACTGAATTTTACATTATCATCTCTTTAGGAGATTATGAATATTAGACTCTATAATGACTTTTCATTATCACAAGGTAGTTTCTATTAAATGATCATTCTTGTTCCTGTGTTCAATTTTTCATTTATGTACTATTTCTTTAAAAATCATGGAGGAGCCGGGTGCCCATGGCTCACACCTGTAATCCTAGCTACTCAGGAGGCTGAGATCTGAGGATCGCAGTTCAAAGCCAGCCTGGCAGGAAAAGCCATTAAATTCTTATCTCCAATAAACCTCCAGAAAACCAGAAGTGGCACTGTGGTAGAGTACTAGCCTTGAGTTGAAGAGCTGATGGATAGCGCTCAGGCCCAGAATTCAAGCCCTACAACCTACAAAAAATTAAAAAAATAAAAAAAAATCATGGAGGAGCTAGGCACCAGTGGCTCACACCTGTGATCCTAGCTACTCAGGAGGCTCAGGTCTGAGGAGGACAATTTGAAGCCAGCTTGAGCAGAAAAGTCTGTGAGACTCTTATCTCCAATTAGCTACCCAAAAAGCTGGAAATGGAGTCCTGGCTCAAGTAGCAGAGTGCTAAACCTGAGCAAAAGAAAAAAAAATAGCTAAGGAAAGCACCCAGGCCTTAAGTACAAGCCCTAGGACTGGCCAAAAAGAAAAAAAAAAAAAAAGAAAAGAAAAAGAAAAAAATCATGGAGGAAATTTTGTCCCTGGAAATTTCTACTCCTTCCCATGAATTGGTTTCTTCTGTTTTTGATCTATCCCAGAGAAACTACTGTATGGTTATCCTAAATCATAAACCCAGAGAAACTACGCAGACCTGGGTCACCTTAGAAAGTCGCTCCCATTTCTAAGTTGTCCCATAGTTCTAGCCTGTGGCAACCACTCTCTCCCGCCCGTAAGATGTTCTGAAGTTCTCCAGGACTGGATGTCCAGAGACCTGGAGCAGTAGTGGAAGCAAGGTGTTATTTCCCGCGGCATGAATCCACCAAACTTAAAGCTAGACTAAGTGGAGTGAAAGGGGCCGCCAGGGTGTTCTCAGTGATGTAAGAAAGCGTGGGGGAAGAATGTGCTTCTTTCATAGACGAAGTCAAGTTTTCTAGTTTTGGAAGAACACAAAGACTCACAAACTCATGTCAGTCCGTATTTCCCACGTGTGCAACATTCTCCACTCATAAGGAAGGAGATGTAAAGAATAGTTGACAACTTACGAATATGACATCAAACTATTACTCAAATGCGATACACAAAAAGGCTTTAAAATGTTGCTTCAAGGAGCGACTGAAATGTGTATAGAAATCAATTTCTAGTACAGCAAAGTCATGAGAAAGAGTGAGAGAAGTTGTTCATCCTGGATTTTAGAGTCCACATCTGGGTTGCAAATTAAAGCAGCAAATATGTCAGAGTTCTGCTCCTGAGCTCTCCTTTGGCAGAAATGGTACTGGTGGCCACGTGAGTCTGGGGGGTTTGCGGTTGCAGTGGCCTGGCCTTGGCCAGCTGAGGCCAGTCTCACGCAGAGGGGAAGGCGCGACGCAGGGGTCTTACCAATCACGAAGCAAGTCATCCACGTCCCCTTTCCAAACACACCTTGGAGGAAGCGGAAGACCACAAACACAGGGAAATTTGGTGCAAAGGCCACCACGACACCGGTGACGCCAACCCCCAAACAGGATATTAAGTAAATGACTATCCTGCCGTACCTTTTAGAAAAAGAGAGAAGAGATCAACATAAACATTTTCTTCAATATAACGGCTGCTGATGGTCAGGTGCTGGTGGCTGACATCTATAACCCTAACTCCTCAGGAAGCTGAGATCTAAGGATCCCAGTTTGAAGCCAGCCAAGACTGAAAAGTCAAGGAGATATTCTTTTCTCCAATTAACCATCTAAAGGCTGGAAGTGGAGCTATGGCTCAGATGGTAGAGCATCAGCCTTGAGCAAAAACACTAAGTGAAAACGTAAGGTCTGAGTTCAAGTCCCACCACCCCTTTCCCTCCAAAAAAAGAAGCTGTACAGAAAATGAATCCTTTTGTAACTTCCTTGTTGCACTAAACAATAATAATATTTTAATGAGTGCTTATAATTAAAGAACTGTGGAAAACCAGAAGCTTTGTTTTATGGCAAAACCAAGGCAAGTGAAATGTCGTGCACCTGTGAGCTGATGTAACCGAGTTTAGAGCACAGAACGCAGCTTCCCAAAGGGCATTCTCTCACTGACGTGGCAGTTCAGTCTTCCTGGTGGTGTGGACCTGACTCTTTCTAGCAACTTTTGTGTAAGGGAAAAGGGGATCGAACAAAGTGACAATGGTTCATTGCTGCTAGGAGTGCTCCCTCTCTTGCAAGCTTGCGACGTTAGGCAAATCCCTTAGCTCTCTCAAACTTTAGGTTGTGTTTCCTTGCAGATGTTTTGGTCTTCCTTGAGACCTTTTCTAGAGGAAGATATTGGAGAGTATCAATAAAGTTCGTAAGCTATAAACTGCACAACCAATCTGAGTCGTTCTTAATTTTTGCATTTTATTTTCACTGTTTACGTAGCTACTATTAAATGACTTAGGAGAAAGGAAGAAGCTACTATGCAGAATAGTTGCACAAGATTATTGGCTGGGAAAGTTGGCTGTCAATAACTTCAAAGAGATTTTATTCTTTGATATTTTTCTATAGGGATTTCCACGGAACTCATATGATGTGACCCAGCCCTGTCAGAAATCTAGATGGGCATGTTTGTGTCTTCCCACAATGTCAGAATTTATTGAATAACAATAAATTCACAAGTTATGTCAACTTCTTAGGTATTAATTGACAAAATACTATTGATGCCCCTCAATAGCCACTGGCAAGCAGGCCCCTGTGTTTCAATCTTCATTACGAATATTAACTCTTAAATCACACATATTACTTTTACAGCATTGCTCAAAAGGGGTTAAAGTAGCTGCAGGAAGTGAAGCTGGCCCCAAGTGGTAGCGTGATAGCCTTGAGAAAAACATGATCAAGGACAGCCATGAGGCTCTTGAGCTCAAGCAGCAGGCAGGGAGTGGGAGGGTGGAGGGGGATCTAGAAACCCGGCACTCCCGACTCTCCTCTGAGACTCCAGCAAGTTTCAGCATCTATGATGTACAGATCAGGCTGTGGCCTGCTCCAAGTTACTCCATAGTGTGTAGAACAGCAGTTTTCAGGCTGGGCCTTGTCCCGAGTGACTTTTATAAAATCGCAGTTTTCTCCATTCTTAAGTGCAGATGTGGAGGCAGAATGATTCTATATCATTTGTAAAAGTACACACCAACCATATGTCCAGCCCAAACCACAAGGCAGACTGACAACTACCTTGCTTATGCAACACCTATGGACACTTGGACACATGGGCGTATAAAACCCATGTCAGAAAAATCAGGCCCATGAGCTCCTTCTGCACCGCAAGGCCAAGTAATGGTGCAAACCTCTCACCCAACAAAGTCGGACCCCAACCTGGTGTCTTAACCAGGAGAGGCGCAGACACTGGTGTATAGCAATGCCCATCAACCTGCCCCCGGACCATCTGGCGTACATGCTTAGGATCGCTGGTGATGAGCTCCAGACTCAGAGCTTCAGGCCCTCACGTCCTGTCTGCCGCCACCCTCAACGGGCAGGTTTCTTCTTTTTAGTGTAGAATGACATTTTATTGTCCAGATTTATCCTGGATTATTTATACATTCCCCCGCTGGAAAAAAAGTCCTAGTTGCTTCCAAATTTAGGCAATTATGACTATAGTGGCTGTAATGGTATGTCCAGTGTTGTGTGGATGCACATTTTCAGCTCCCCGGAGTCATGCACAAGGCCGACAATGGCTGGATTGGATGTTCAGTTTTATGAGACAACACAGAGGCTGCCAGACTATATTCTCCAGTGGCTTTATCACTGCATCGCACCAACAGTGGACAAACACTCCCGTGGCTTCACAGACTGACTGAGAAGCCTTTGGTGCTGTCAGCCACTTAGAATGTGCATAGCAGCTTTCTTGGGTTTAATTCCCATTTCCTTAATGACCTAGGATATGGAGCATCTCTATTTCACCATCTGTAGGTCTTTTTTAAAAAATCAAAATCATTTAGGAGACATCAGTCTTCATTTTTTTTAAGTTTGCTTGAGTTTTCAGAGTTCTTTGTTTCTTTTGGATAACAGCTCTTTATCACATAGACCTTTTGCAGATATGTTCTCTCAGCCTGTGGCTTATCATTTTCATTCTCTGACAGTGTTGTTGTTGTTTTTTTAACACAGCAGAAAAAGTTTCATTCTAATCAAGCCCAGCTTATCAGTTCTTCTTTGCATGAATTGTGCCTTTGATGTTGTATTTAGAAAGTCATTGCCAAACTCAAAGTGACCTAGATTTTCTCTGATGCTATCTTCAAGAAGTTTCACACTTTGTGTTTTACATTTAGGTCCATGATCCATGGTGTGTAATTGATTGTGTTGATGGCTTTGTATTGGTCAGCTTTCTTGTCACTGTGTTGGCTGCCTCATGTAAGCAATGTAGAAAGGACAGCTCGTTTGGCACAGGTGCAGTGGGTTCTGTCCACGGGTGAGCACTTGGCCCCCAGGGGTTGGGAAGAAAGATCCTACAGACAGGTCATGTGCAGAAGAGGCTGTTCACCACAGGGCAAAAGGGAAGTGGAATGGAGAATACAGGCAGGGGCCCACACAAGATACACCCCAGGGACATGTCCTCAGTGACCTGCTTCCTCCAAACAGGCCCCATTTACTTCTTACCATTTTCCAATAATGCTATCCTACAACAGCATTGAGACATAACCCTCATGGCCCCGTCATCTCTGGAAATACCACCATTGCATCCTCAGAAGTGGGCTTCCCACCGCCCAGTCATTTGTCAATCCAATCAAGAAGACAATTAAGGGCCAGGAAGATGGCTCAGAGGTAGAGTGCTTGCCTTGCATGCATGAGGCCCTGGGTTCCATTTCTCAGCACCACATAAGCAGAAAAAGCCAGCAGTGGTGTTGTGGCTCAAGTGGTAGAGAGCTAGCCTTGAGCTGAAGAGCTGAGGGACAGTGCCCAGGCCCAGAGTTCAGGCTCCACGACCACCACCACCAACACCAACAAAAGTAGCCAACGTCCATATAAAGTCTGGATGGAGACATATTTATAAGTAGAAGTCAGTTTTTCCAGTGTCATTTTTTGGAAAAAGTATCTTTGCACCATTGTTTTTGCCTTTGTTACTTTGTCAAAGATGGGTTGAATGTATTTATGTGGATCTGTTCTTTGCTTGATCATGGTAGCTCTGCAGTATGGTATGCGTGGAATCCCACCACGGTGATACCACCAACTCTGAGCCAAGCAGATGCTGACACCATGCTCTCAGACCTGTGAGCCACAGACATCCGTTTTCCAGTCCTTCTTTAAGAGCAATTGCGGTAATAAGATGTTGTGCTGGGTTTTTGTTGTATTGGGCAGTGTTTACTGCATGGGTGTTTCAGATATACAAACCCATGTTCTATTGTCCAGAACAAATCATCTGGATTTCTTCTTCTATTATCTGGAAGATTTAGCCTTCCCTAGAGGAAAACAATACAATCTTGTATTGCTCTTGTTTTGTTTTGCTGGTACTAGGCTTGAACTCAGGAGTCTTACACTCACTCAGCTTGGTTGATCATAGCTGGTACTCTACCACTTAAGCCATGCCTCCAATCCAGAGTTTTGCTGGTTAGTTGGAAATGAGATCTCAAGGGCTTTTTTCCCTGAGCTGGCTTCTTACCACAGTCTTCCAGCTCTCAGCCTTCTGAGAGCTAGAATTATACGTATAAGCACCTGGCCTATAGTCTGCCTTTTAAAGATTAAAGACAGAGACAATACTTCTTTTTTTTAAAGGGATATTATCTGGAGAATTCAGTACTTACATCCAAAAAGTAAATGCACTGTTAAAGACTTAGTCAAATCATATAAAATAAATGTCAGGAGTAGTAGAATAAGAAATTTGTCTCCAAATATAATAAAGCTATTTTAAACAGTAGATATAAGGCATTTTTATTCCATGTGTACATGGTGTGTGTAGGGATGTAATGGTTCTCACATCCTGTCTTACCTGTCTGCTGCATAGCCCAGGGTAAAGGCTCCTGCCAGGAAGCCTAGGTTCAGAATGGCTTGAGTGAAGTCCAGCATCCACGCATTGACACAGACAAGGTCAAACTAGGGAAACAAACAGAGGCATGAGTCCTGAGTGTGTGTGTGTGTGCGTGTGTGTACATCAATGACCTTTAAGCATTTTTTTCTTAAAGACTCTTTTAATAAATCATTGAAATATATCTCATGCATCTTTATATATTTTTGTCAGCTTAAATAATTCAAAAAATGGAATTTATAATGTAGTATAAATACTAACATGTATAAGTAATATGAACGATGCCCAATAAAATGTAATTTTTATTTACACTTTAGTATATATATATATATATATATTATGACCATAAATATGAGAATGGACCCCCGCCATCATCCAGTAAAAAATGTTATTTGCCACAATTCCATGTGTAATTAGTTCTATATAAACTGACATTTAACTTTAAAAAAATTGCCCATGAAACCAAGTTTTTAAATACTAGATTTTATTCTGAGTTATAGTCATTGTTACATTTAAATTGTGCTTGGTCAAATAAAAGCCATGGTGAATTTTGAAAAAGAATTACCATCCCGGCTAAAATTCTGACAGAAATGGACCATTTGGAGTAGAATACTGAGAGCCATGGGCTTTCTCAGTTAGCTGTGATCTGCAGCCAAACATCTATTTCTAGAAAGAACTGATGTTCGATACCAGATCTATTCCTGTTGCTCAGTTTTTATAAATTTGTGATCCCAGAAATCGTGTATCTATAAACAAGCCCTTGGGAGTGGAGAGAAATTTCTACAGCAATGTTCCTCAGTCCTTCACCATTCCCAGTTAGATGCCATGCTTTGCATATGGTTCTATCCCCAAGGTTATTTTTTACTTGCTAATAAATTATTTAAATCCTCATATAATTTTCCTGGAAGCAAGAAATGGGAAACGTCAGACTTACAAAAAGTCACTAGTCACCTTTCTTCCTTAACTACTTTCTTCATATCCAAATTAGTATTTTAAATTGTCCCCTGGATTGATAGCCCAAGGTTGTAAAAGTTTTAATCTACATATCACATGGGGAGGTGGGCGAGGTTCTAATTCTCACCACAGTTCTGTTTTCAGCCCCACTGGGGAAAGAGGACACGGATGGGTTGGGGATCTGATTCTCTTCAGAGCATCAGACCTTCCACCTTAGTGACTGCTAGGTGGTGTGCTCATCCAAGCCTGCTTTAGACCACAGCATTAAGCTAAAATCAATGTCATACAAACAGCAATTTGACTAGTTTCATAAATACTCATTCATAAGCAAACTATGATTTATTTATAGGCTCAGCTTTTTGTCTTGGTTCTATAGTTAATGCCTTATCCCTGAACATAGCCAGAGAAAGAAAAGATGAGGGAGGTGGGGCAGAAGTAGCTGGCCCACCTCAGAGTACTGAGATCTTCTGAGAGGAAAGAGTTTCACCTATTTGTATAATAGAAATAATCTAATGCTGGTGGCTTACAAAGATTTTTTACATCACTTTTGGGTTTTGAAGGTATTTCATTTTAAGAAAGCATCATCTGGGGGCTGGGAAGGTGGCTCAGTGGTAGAGCACTTGCCTTGCATGCCTGATGCCCTGGGTTCGATTCCTCAGCACCACATAAGCAAAAAGAAAAAAGCCAGAAGTGGCGTTGTGGCTCAAGTGGTAGAGCGCTAGCCTTGAGCTGAACAGCTGAGGGACAGTGCCCAGGCCCAGAGTTCAGGCCCCACAACCGGACCAAAAAAAAAAAAAAGAAAGCATCATCTGGCCATACTAAAACTACCAGTACAACTATGTTTATTGCAGCATTATTTACCATAGCTAAGATATGGAACCAACCCAGTAGATAAATGGATCAAGAACATGTAGTATTTATATACAATGGCATTCTATGCTTCCATCAGAAAGAATAATACCACCCTATTTGTTAGGAAATGAAAAGACTTAGAAAAAATCATATTAAGTGAAGTAAGGCAGATCCATAGAAATATAGGTCCCTCATTTGCAATAACTAGTATACATCTAGGATAATTTTATCAGATGAGCAGAAAAGCTCAAAAGCTATGTACATATGACCATAGAAGATGATGCTAAGTGGAATGAACTCCAAGATATGAACACAAGAGGTCTTTCTTTGTTGTTATTGTTTTTAATGTATTATGTGATTTTTTTTGTTTCCTCTGTATGTTCTTCCCCCTATGGTACATCCCCTGTTGTCACTGTACTTGATTTTGGGACCCTGCATCTTATAGATACATTTGTCTAACTTAGGGAGGGGAAGGGGAATAACAAAATGCTGAAACAAGGACACAGGATGACCCATTGCAACAAGGATACCCACAAGACGCACAGTATGTTGGAAATGAACTTTACAACTTTGGGTGGGGGGGGTGGCAGGAGGAGGGAAGAGGTGGGGGGGAGGGATAGAGTCAGAACAACAAGGGAAGGGTAACAATGCTCAACAAGAAATGGACTCCTTGCCTTACTCATGTAACGGTCACCCCTCTGTACAGCATCTGTACAATAAAATAAAGATTAAAAAAAACTAAAAAAAAGGAAAGCATTGTCTGGAATAGCATCCCATCAGAATTAAATCCAGACAGACCATACCAGGGGAAAAATGTACAAGAATCCGAGAAAGCAAAGGATGATTTAATTACTGGGAAGAAAAGTCAACACTTCACTTCAGAAAAGTATTAACCAGCTCAAACATCAGAACTCACAGTGTAGAAGTTGCTCTCCCCAGCTGTCCCTCAGAGACCCAGGTTCACAGTCCAGAGGTAACCAGTGCTTCTCAGAATGACCCAGGCCTCTTCACAAACTCAGTCCGCTGCCCCAAATGTTTGTTCCTACAAAACTGTTCATCCTTTTCATGTTCCCAGAAAGAGGAACAGTCCAAAGGACATTTTCATACTTCTTATTTAAATAAAATGAATTGGAAACCCAAGTCTAAATGGCTAAAGTGCTAGGGCAACATTTTCTAAAATACCCAGGCTAGAGATCATCTGCTCTTTTGCGCTTGCTGAGTCCCAGAGAACCAGAGGCATGGACGCTCTATTTCCCAGACTCCTTTGCCAACAGGATCTGTTCAGGTGGAGGGGGCTAGAGGCAGATCTGAAGTCAGGAGGGAGGGGTGGACTCGGCTCCTGGCTTTGCCACCAGTTCCATCTCCAGTCCTAGCAGTGGACAACATTTGGTGGCTGCAGGAATTGGCCACGTGGGGGCCAAGGAATCTCGACCCACATGTCTGGTGGTAGGCCTTAAAATTGGCTGTCCAGAAGGGCAGGGGCTGATCACTTAGACACGGAAAGAGCTGTCCTTCCTTATCTTTTCCCTCTCCTTTTTTTTAACTCTCCCAACAAATCTTTTTTTTTTTTTCTTCTGGTTGTGGGACTTGAACTTTGGCCCTGGGCACTGTCCCTCAGCTCTTCAGTTCAAGGCTAGCGCTCTACCACTTGAGCCACAGCACCACTTCCAGTTTTCTAATGGTTTATTGGAGATAAGAGTCTCACAGACTTTCTTACCCAGGCTGGCTTTGAACTGCAATCCTCACATCTCAGCCTTCTGAGTTGCGAGGATTACAGGTGTGAGCCACCAGCGGCCGGCCCAAGAAACCTTTTATCAAATTCCTTTCTCTTGAAATACCTAACCTAGTTTCTCTTCTCCTGTCTAGGAGAACTTACCAGCTTTCAAAAGCACCAATAAATGAACTCAAACAAAGTATGTGTACTTACATAAATGCACACCAACATATCAGACACACACACACACACACACACATACACAAACCCCTCCAGCACAGGTAGGAAAGCCAGTGGTCCACACAGGAAAGAAAGGCTTTATTTGAAGTACCATTTGCTTGCTGCACTTCCTTGGGAGACCTGGATTCGCTTCTTGTCAGCAGAAGGCCATTGCATCTCACTGAAAATTTACTTCAGTCTGAACCAGAGGCACGAGAATTTATGTCTCTCTGTGAAGGCCATCTGTGCTGAACAAGGATGTCTTCCCAAGATTTTTTTTTCTCCAAAGAGTACACACATAAAAACATTGAAGAAGTTTTCTAATGCTCATAAATCCATGTGCCCTCATCCTGTTACTTATTAATCTTCAAACTCCCTTTCCACAAACAGAATAACTCCTTGAAACAAGCAGAAAGTTGATCTGATAAAGAATGCCAGCAGCTGTACATGGAACGCCACAAGGATCCCAATGTTTTGCTTTGCAGAAAAATGAAATTTAGTGCCTTTGAAGGATTTCCAACTAAAGGCTTTTCATAGAATTTCCCAGCTGTTGAAGTCCAAACAGACATATTTATCTGAATTTAACGATCCAATGTGGGCACAAGAATATATACATATATATGAATTATACATATCTTCCCTTATACTATATATGTTATATATACTATATATTGCATATATCGTGTGTATATACATTGTGATTTCCAAATTACTCTTAAAGGAAAAAGTATCTTCAATATACAAAAAAAAAAAGGCAAAAAACAATGCAAGTATGCAAAAGCTGCAAGAAACAGGGGAGACCAGGTCTGGGCCTCAATCACAGTATGACCATCAGCTGGATTTTCCATAAAAGTCGAGGTCAGCCCTCTTGCCCAAACATGTACAGAAGAGATTCAAAGACTTGAGGGCATCTAGCATTCGACTGTCATTACACGCGATGAGAAACAGCATCCATCCATTGTTTGTACTGCTCTGGGAAAAAGGAAAGTCTCTGAAGTCTTTACAATATCCATGTGCCTCTGTTCCCACTGTATTAAGGATGAACTCTGTTAAGTTCCTGAGCTGGAGCTTCAGCCTCTAGGGTGGTGGTACTGGGCAAGATTGGATCCTTTACCAGCTAGGCCTGTAGGAGCACCAGTAGTTCATGCCTGTAACCCTGGGTACTTCGAAGGCTGAGATCTAGAAGACTGAATTTTGAAGGTAACCCAGACAGTAAAGTCCACAAATGTCCATCTGAAAGGCAGGGCTGGACATATGGCTTAAGTGGTAGAGCACCAGCCAGGCAAGAAAGCCAAGCACTCATAAGGTTCTATATTAAGATCCTAGTAT